AAGTTCCATGAGAAACGTCGCGAAATTTCGTGATTTCTGTCCCGAGGAATATCACTGAATTTCTGGTTGTGCCTTACAGCAGAAAAAATGCCTCCGTTCTACGGGGTTTGTGGGTACGATCATAGTGATAGACTGAGTTCTCTTTTGTCGGATTGTGGAGGGCATGAGTTCCACCGGCCGATAGTCAATGTTTCAGCTAATATTGGAACTCAGGCATTTTGTTTCTTTTTAGACAATGCGGGAATTACTATAGCTGTCAATTTGATGTTGCGCTATCCAAACCTGTCAAGGAGTTGTTGGTGGTGCCTGGGTCTTATCAATACGCTTATCACCGCTGGAGGTCAAATCTGACCCGGATTGTGCACCAGACGTCGTTAGAATCCAATTAATAATAGGTGCAGAAATGCAATCACGTGATTTTGACCCCCATCTGTAGACGGCTCTAAAGCCCGTTCGAAATTCATTACCCAAGTCCCATTGGCCATAAAGAAAGAACCCTTCTTCAACTGGAGATATCATTTTCCTGGTTTTTTGATAGATAATATTCGGCTCACCTGCTGAGAATTTTTGAGAGAATTGTGATGTGAGGTGATACGTCACTCAACGACCATCATCCATTTTGAACGAACAAATGGTGACTCGTTTTTTCGGATGTTGATGTCACTGCTTTTCTGGAGTGTTAGCAATCAGGCTTAAGTTAGAAGAAAGACAACGCATATTGAGAACACATTCAGAGGCGAACAATGGTTTTCATTGAGTCATCCTCCAGTCTGTACATATCAAATTCATAAATGGCGCGTTGAACGGGGATAGATATTCGGTCGTTCAAAAGTCACGGTGATTGGTTAAAACGGAGAGGAATTGGTGGAGGATGAATGATGCGATGTGCCCCCCCCCTCACGTGGATCATCAAAACACTGCAATCAAACTCTGATGCGTCATCCGTGCGATCCATTTTCGGCCACGGCAGTTGAATTGCATGGACCAGTCTCTTTTGTGCACCGATTGGGTTTGAACAAACGAATCCCGATCGCTTCCGAAGTGGCTAGAGTGTGTAGACGCAGCGAATTGGATGGGTGAGGTGGTACTCAATAGATGACTTTGAAGCCTGTATCAGCCTTCACTTGGTGACCCAAGTCTGCTAAGTGAGCAAGAATAGAGCTTCTTGTGATACCTTTTCCAGCGTGTTGAAGCCAGTGTAGACAGTGCTCTTTAATCCGCTGAAACAGTTGCCTCGCCGTTCGACCAATGCAGGATGCGTTACACACGCATATTCTAGTTCGGTTATGGATACTTGTAAAAATATGATGTGATGGTGGTATTTGACGCGCATATGATTAGGTGTACCATATATGTTATCTGTACAGGCTAGAAGATGAATCAATGAAAACAATTGTTCGCCTCTGAATGTTCTCATACATGTGAGTGATATTTTTTCAACGTGGATAGTTGGTTGCTGCGATCGACGAACGGTGTAATGGAAAGTTACGATAAATCTGATCAATGAACTAGTTCAAATAACTACTTCATCTATTTCACCATATTGTAGATGGTTTGTCCCAACACTCCACGGGTTATTATCGTAACAGAAGAAGTAAAATAGATTTAAGACTAAAAAATTTTTTGAGTCGCTCACTGCTGAAAATGAACGAAATCGATTTGCCGATCGACATATTCACTTTAGGATAGTGTTGTGTCCCAGGTTAAATAGACCGATAAGCACATGGTGAATTAAGCAACATGTTTATTGTTGACGGCAAATGTGTAACCGGTTCATGTACTGGTGAGCAAGCAGGAACGGACAACATTAAGGAAGGCAGGCAGGCAGACCAACACAGGCCCACACGTCACACAATATCCGTATCCCGCCCAGCCGGCAATCAAGCAATCAGCCAATTAGTCAATCGATTATTCATTTTGACCACAGGCATGTATGATAAACGTACCAGTCAGTTATATGTCACAACAGATAGTTTAGAACACACTCGCGCTCCTAAACTTGTTTACAGACCTCTTTTGAAATAAGTTTCATACTTGTATGATTTTGTAACGTTTATTATATAAGTCCTTTCAATCAATAACTGCCTCGAAAATGCTACACTTCATAAAGTGGTTAAACGTAAATTTGCAACTACATCCATATAGACATTTCATTCGCGTTGTCTCGGTCAGAGACGATTGACGAACAAAACAGTCCGATTAGGCATGCTCATGATTTCAGCTGTTGAATATCGCTGTGACAGAGTTAAACGTGCCTAATGAATGGTATGGATTGTGTTTGAAAACAGTGTCCCAAAATAATTTATCATAATTAGAAATAGTAAATAAATGTGTGTGGCATTTTTTAAACTTTACAGCTTTTAGTTCATGTTCAAAGTTCCCACATAGGAAATTAGAACTGATCTTTTTGTCACTGCGGTTGATTATTGAATTCAAGTCTAATCTTTTCGTTTGAATTAAAAAAAACTAAATATTGATTTATCCTATTCAAATGATCAAAAGTAGCCGATTGTTTCCCTCATTCATCATGAATTACAAAAAAATACCTGACCACATAAGTACAAGTCACCAATTGCCAACCACTTCTCAATCCAACAGTTTCATTGTCGCGGGTATACGATACGGACATCTTGATCAAACGTTCATCAACCGACTGATGGAAATAGCTCAGTTACAAACCCCGATATCGGAACAGGTAAGACGGAACTGATTGACAGTAAATGATAATCATCTACAAGTTTTTCTGGTTCAGATTTGAACGCCAAAGGAAATCACTACAAATGTGAGTCGTGAGAGTCCTACGCAATAAGGCAACCAGTTGGATTTCAGTTTCGCCTGGCAAACCGCAGAGCTAATGAGGATTAATACATAAATCAATAAATAATTACCGTCTGTTGGTTATGCAGTTCAGGGATAATGGTTTGGACTCCAAATCAGGAAGTTCGCCCTTCAGATCCCGGTAGGGGGGCATACAAGTAGCACGAACTGCCGACCAGTCCCAGCAAGCATGAAATGATTGTCCAGTTTTCTGTTGGCCTTCCGAAACGGAATGACCACTTCTTTTGAAGTGGACGGAAAACTGTAAAACTCACGTTTTTTAAAGATAGAGCGACCAAACTGAAGATTGCCGGATGACACTGTATGGATGAGATCATACGTCAATGGGATTCGAACCCTCAGGCTATCATCATTTCACACTTTTTTTGTGTACAACAATGAGAAATTCTAAACACAGTTTCCTCGTAATAAATATGAATAATGAGGCCCAAGACACCGGTTTTCACAATGTATCCCGGATCGTTCCGATGCATCAATACACGTGCATATTGCAGTTTAAGTGATCATTATTATTTATGATCAGAAAATAACTCGGTGGATTAGTTAATTATAGCCTGATGTGTAAATTAATATTCACATAGTTTTGGGCCTGAAAATTTGACAATCCAACTTATACTTTGGAAAATTCACTTATTGCTGTTCATTTTTCAAAATGTATATATCTATCGTGTTTGGATGAAGAATAATTCACCCACATGCGAAATCATTATTATCGCACCACTGAGAGAGCTTGCGATGTTTGTTTAATGACTAAGTCAATAGGATTACTTTTTCATATTTCACCTAAACTTTAGTCCTCAGTTGTTCATTGAGTCTGCTACAGTTGGAAATCAGACCCGGATAATTATTGTGAATGGGGTATTTAGGTGGGAGCGAATGAAAGTTAAATCGCTCTCAAATCCCGCTCTTTCTCTGTCTCTTCCTCCGTACAAATACAAATTTGTCTAATCGAGAACGCCCGAAAGGTGAAATGATATTTCTAAAATCAATTGCGATTGATTTTGGCATCAGGCAAACAAAAAGGCTTCCAATAAAAGTGTTCCAACTCGACTGAAAGTTGCGCGATCAACAGAGATTACTCACATTCATATGTGCGAATACCTTGACATGTTAATTTGTTTTATACAATCTTGACCATAAGATAAATAAGAAAATTCACTTAGTTGTCGAACTTACTATTTTTTGTAGGAATAAAATCAGTAGAACCTGATTAGATACGTATTTCGTGCAACTTCCCCGTTTGATTTAATCGGCTTCCTCTACATATATATGACCTCCTACAGATATGGTGTCTTGAATACCGCATTCTGCTGAACATACAGATTTTCGCATTCAACTCACAGTTACTTTTGAGTAGTGGTGAGGGATAAAATAACGTATATTTTGTCTTCTCTAGCCGTAAATCATTGCCGGTCATGAGTAAAGCGCTTCACGTTTGTGCTTTTTCTGAAAACTGACTTAAATTTGATGACTTTTTAATGGAGGTAACTGAATAGTAATAAATAAAATCAACTTCCTTGCCTTTCCAGAGCATTGCACCGGGATTCTATGCGTTGATTACAGTTGTGGGAATCTTGGGATCATGTTCTGTGCACGAGACAGTCAAGTGAGTGAAATGGATGCGTTACTGGTTGGATTTTGATTTGGGGGCAAATGGCAATAGCAATCACCGAATTACTTCAAATGTGTACTAGGGTCAGACCGCAGCGGTATAGAGATCATCTTGATGGTAGCAAGCAAGATCACTTAAAAAATACATTTAATTATCTGGCTAAGCATGTAATTACATTTTGGCAAAACGTTTGATCTGAACATTCCCCGTCATGTATACTATAATTTCTAATACTAGGTTGCATGTGTTGAAGCATGTGTTGAGTGGATGTCAAATTGGCTCAGTTTTTTTCATCTTCCACTTGGTCCAGGCATGGGTCATCTGAAACCCTACCGAATATTTGCAAAACTATTGCAGTGGCCGCTTTAAATACATTTCTAGGGTTCTGGCTCGCCGTGGGCCGAGAAATGAACGTGATCAATGAGAAAAAGCAAATTAAAGGGAGTTGCAGAAGGATCTACAGATCTCAGAAACATTGGTCTGGTTCCGGAGAGAAAAAACCGTGAAAGGGACATTGTTAATTGACTATGTATTGCAGTCATGTTGTTTCTGTGGTTGCATCATACGTGCCGGGTTCGTGTGTCTTGTTGTGTTCTATCTGAATGCTGTATTTTTCACAGTCTTGGTGTATTACTGGTTTCAGAACGACTTTGTACGATTGTGAATTCGGCTCGGGACTGAATCGTCCTAAATATATATCTTCTTATATATATATATATATATATATATATATATATATATATATGGTTTGTGCATACCAGAAAGCAGGATAGTTGATATTGCACCACAGTAGACGTCACATTCTGTCCCGCTAAATACATCAAAAGAAAATTTTCGATCCATAGAGATTTATTGAAAGTAAAAATTCGGTTCCTTTTTTAGCCTCAAACTGTTGGTGGGTATGCAGGCAAGGGTCAATTCCTGTGTACGTTTATATGAGAGGAACTGTGCAGCAATCCGTAACACTTGGACGGATTGGAACAGCATGCGAATTCATTTATTGATCAAGTTCTGAACTAATCCTTCCTGCAAACTGGACAGAAGTTATTTGGTCATCGAGAAGCCTCGCAATTAACTTGCCCACTTGTTGGTCCAAGTTCCAACCTCACTCTCTCTCTCTGGGAAAACCATAGAGAAAGTAAACAACTGTTGCTTTTTAAGGCAGATGAATTTCACCTGATAGACAAATTTCGGATGAAATTTCCCTTACACAAACAGAAGGCTCGGATGGCCATTGCTAAGACCAGATATCCTATCGAAGTGATTTGTCAAAGTCATTCAAAGTATAAATGAGGTCTAAGGACAGCATACAAAGTGGAGATTTTATTTGTCTTGCGGGACAACTGCAGTTCATCAGAGAAACAGCCACAAACTCAAGTCTGTATTATAATTTGTGTGATTCAAATAGTAATAGCTATTTTTAGGGTACCAAGCTTGGATTAGCCTGTTCGATTGTTCAGAGGCACCAGGCACTGTTGATGATCTCGGGTGTGGGTTTCACTAATTGGAAGATCGTTAATTTCCCACTATTTGAATGCATCTAAATGCGGTACTCTAAAATTGTTTGAGTCGACCGTGTAGCTCAGGGGTAAGGGTTTGAAGTCCCGACCCGACTGATCGCGGTTCGAGTCCTGACAGGAACACAAAAAGTACGCACTANGACGAGTCCCAAAATAGGACGAAACAGCTGTCCAGTGCTCTTTGTTGGTTATCACAAACATTTCCATCTCATTTGAATAATAGCTATTGTCTGGACACCTTCACTCTGTACAGGCAACCAACCAGGTTGCCAGTTCTACTCAGAACATTAGAACTATGGATGCTTTCAATCGTCAATCGGAATTAAATTCTCCGGGATCATATAAAGAAATTAAAATCATGCTGTTTGCACTTCCACTCCTCGGTCAAATTCAAACTATACACATTGAGTTAAGTGTAGCTAGTATCGATCTGACTTAGAACAACAATCCGTAACACTGAGGTGATTAAGATTATTTCAAAAACTTCGCAATGAAGACCTCTATTTTGGGTACGGGAAAGTGTTGATAAGAATCGAACAGGCACGAGAGAAAACAAAAGGTAGTGATGTCATCACAAGTGTGTGCCACGATGTAATTCCATATTCGCTCACCGGATTACTGTGGAACTTAGGTCACGTTTTGTTGTGCGCCATTTGTCGATCAGAGCATGCCATACATTCACATTAATACTAACTGTCATCCCCGAGGAACACCTATCTTTCGGGTTACGTTTTATCCAATTGTGTCAGCAGAGGTTACATGTTTTCACTGTTGCTGGTGATTTTAAGAACCCGGATGAGTTTTTACACATTCACGTCTCTGCAGAATGTTGTTACTTTCTTCACTATTTGTGACGTCATACTGGACCTCATTTCCGGTAGCGAGCCCTCTTTTTTCGCGCCGTCAAACGTGTACCAGTAATAGACTATGGTCACGGTCCAAAGGCTCCATCCTGGAGCGAGCTAGAGCTCTTTCGTCTTCTGGTTATGCTCGTGATTCTAAACAGGTCGCATCGCAACACTGAGGATGCCGCTGTCGGTTGACGTCACCAAACTATCACCCCGGGTCATGTGATCGAATTCCACCACTACCACCCTTCGACTGACCGCTTCCCTTTCNCTTTCCTGAAAATTGTATCATTATGCATTCAATAAAAGGAAGTAAAATGAAAAAGAATCCACGATCGGCCTAAAACACAGGACTGGTCAAGTTTGCTTTCTGGACAACACAAAAACCACAACACAGCAACGCAATCTCCCAATAACAGTTCACTTGTCTGAACAGCATCAGATCTTTCAATATCTATGTACATCTGTGTAAGGAACGCGCCATTTTATATCACCTTTTCGTTTTTCCCTTTAGACAAAAAATGTACCACCAACCCACACCTGTAGTCGAATTTGAATTCTCCGATGACGAAGTGGTTTGTGGTGTGTCCACCAACTCCTCCGTCACCCTATCCTTCAACCTCACCAAATTTGTTGGTTTTGTTTCCACTCCATCGTAGGCGATCTGCAGGGTCTGAATCGTCCGTTTCCAACATCCTCAATAACGATTTAACTGTTAGAAGACTACACCATTTCGAAAGCATCGATGTTTTCTATCTGATGAACTCAAAACGTGATCCCAACACGTGAAACAAACTTCCTCAAGTCAAAAACTGACGTTTTACATCTCACAGTTGCGTAATATACGTTTTTCAAATTTATTAATGTATTTTGTCATTGAACAAATTGATCCCCTCCCAGGTCTGTTGCTTAAGGATTTCATATTCATTGGCCATCATGGCCTTGATAGTTATCGTTCAGACAGTGGGGACAGACTCCTTAGCATACGCTCAGAACACGGTCTGTTCCTCGTTAGCACGAACTTCAGACGCTCTATGCATCACCTTGCCACCTGACGTAACCCCTCTTCGGCACAGACGTGCAGTCAGATTGATCATATAGCTATTAGTTATAAATGGAAAGGGTGTGTGAGACTGCCGTTCGTATTAGTCTACCTGCTTGGACTTCGACCAAGCACTGGTTTGTGCCAAGTTGTCTATGCGAATTGGTGGCCCCAAAAAAATGCGACACAAACAGCTTGACATCGCCAAGATCTCTGACCCGGCCGTACAGATTTTCTTTGGTTGGAGACACTGCGAGATATGGCATCGAACCGAAGTCAGTGGCGTGAATGTATCCTCTCCAGTGTGCAAAAATAAAAATAAACAACAACAACAACAACACCAAAAAGCTCAAAACTGCGTACAGTAAAGAAACAGAAAAAAATTATTTCATCAAGTTGACTGTGTTGCTCTTCTCGCTTATATATATATATATCATATTCATCAGCCGCTCTTTGAAAGACATCTTGTGGAAGTGGTTGACTACAATATAAACAAGCACCTTAGAGTGTAATACAGTTAGTGTAGTGCATCACATCCACCATACCTTGCACTCTCTTACTTCACCTCCCTTTCTGCAACCCACCTTACGTTTAAATCTATACACTCTGGCACGTTTCATAGTTCTGTGGTACCACATATTTCTCGTTTATTAGCTTGAACCGAAAGACAATTCATGGTGCTGTATATCATTATTTTAGTCGTCCTCCCTTCTCCTCCTCATCATTGCGTTCTTACAGAATGACATGACATTTGCATGTACCCTAAACGAACCTAGTAACTTTTATCCACAGGAATTCTGTACACAATGAACAAATTAAATGCGTACAATGACTTGATCTGATTAAGATATCTTAGGTGCTCATAGAAATACTTTATTACGATATAAAGAACTGATCTATTTGAATCTTTCTATAATATATTCACAGGTCCATCAACGATTGTGGCTCACGTAGCGGAGTGAAAACTTTCTGTCTCTATAAGGATCAGTCGAAAGATGTGGTGAGTGACTATTTCCTCGCAAGTTTGAGTTATTACCCCATCGAGAATAGTTGTCCTTCTTAAGTGTTAGATGTTTCGTAACTTGATAAAATCATTTATACGAACCACAACACTTTATCCGTTAGGGATTTTCAGCAGTTGACTGAGGTGAATGGTATCAAGTCTCGTCTGGCGTCTTTGAAGCATCTCTTTCAAAACGCACAGTTTTTGGTTGGTTGACCTGACTAGTTAAAAGTTGAGTGATGTTAACAGGAGAAATCTCGTACGATTTTGGAAAGAACTAGGAAGATGAGAAAGAAAGTTCTCTAACTGGGTGTCATAGATTTTAGGGCACATTTGCTCACAGATCGCGTAAAGCTTGCTGGGTGTTTTCAGCGTTACCAATGGTTAGGGAGACGGAGTGACATGGTTGCGTCGTGAACTCTGGTGCTCGTAATTCTATCCATTTTTCCTGCAACCTTAACCTTCTTGAGTTCTCCATTTTCATTCTGATACTCATTTGAACATTCCAATTTTCCCTTTACTGCTTCGTTTTCACCTTCAAACTGCAAAATGTTGCCACAGGACTGGGTTTGTCCAGTACCCAGACTCACTCCAACTGGGGAAGTCACAGAGCAAGTGGACAAGTTTTGTTATTTGGGCAGCTATATCTCATCCGGTGGATGAATCACCGTCGAAGTGTCTGCTCTTACATAGAAGGCTCTATTGGTATTTGCTAACTTCAGACATCTGTGGCGCTGCCGCGACATCCGTCTGTCCGTGAGTGCTTTAGTATACGCTGCGGCGGTTCAATCAGTTCTGTTATATGCCGAAGAAACTTGGTCATTAGGAAAACAGGACGAAGATAAACTGTCGGTGTTTGAACACCGCTGTCTACGCAGCAGTGCGCGAATCTGGTGGGGCAGCCGGACGAGCAATGCTGAGGTTAGGCACAGTTTTAGGTATTCGCGGTCGCCCACTGGAGCAAGTGGTCAACCTCCACAGATTACGTTGGTTGGGACGTGTTACGCATATCACCGAATAGGTTGCCATGGCGCGCGATGTTTGCCGAGGCAGTTAGTATGTGAAAGCAAGTCAAGGGTAGCCAAGCAAAGACCTGGCATGAGGGTATGAAAACACTAACTAGGAATCCGGGTCACATAAGTCCCGTTAGGCTCCCTGGATGAGGAGCTCGAGGTGATCGTAACCGGTGGCCAAAGACAGAGCGATATGGCTGAGCGTCGTCAACAGTGGTGTTGGTGCATCCCCTCCATTTCCTTGCAACCTTGGTTCATTAAAACTCTCCATTTTTTATTACACATCGGTATGTGATGGATAGCAGACGGGGTGGAACCCCATAGTCACGAAGACCTGCTGTTCAGTGATAGCCTATGCCCCGGTAGTTAGAGTGGCGAACCACGTAAGGCCCCGCTAGTTCAGACATGGTATAGAATCGGGCAACAGCAAAGCTGCTCGAACCTCGGACCACAAAGTCCAAGGCACATCATTGACAGCGACTAAACCACTGCGACACCACCACCCTTTGCTCTTCAACCATACTTTCAACCTCCCTGCCTATCTCCTTCGCCTTCATCCAGTCAACGAGCCGGCGCAAAAGACTATATAGTTATTGGTTTTGAGAACTAACTGAAGCTGAACCCATGTTCATTTGGTATCCATCCAAGATGGAGCCCTCCCGTTATCCTAGGTAATAGCTAACCTGTCGGTGATCGCGGGTATATTTTATTTAACACTGCCTTGCGGACAAACATGGTGACAACGCCACAACAAGAATAACAACAGCAATAAGGGGAGGGGGTGGTTGGGATACAGCATACAGTAAAAAAGAAGGAACTATTAAAATGGAAAGTTACAGATAAATGGGATAACAATCATTTTGTTTCACCGCACACTTTTTGAAATTTGTGTTAGGTTGCTTTTTATTCACGGGAACGGGATTTAAACAGGCAAACCGTACAGCATTCGCGCCACTGACTTCTATTCTGGGCCACATCTCTCACGACAACCCTCATTCCTTGA